GTATTCATGTCATTTTCTCCCTTGGTCTTGCATGATTGTAACAGTTGTGGAGCTTTGGTAATGACAAAGCGTTTTTTTTTTTTTGACTGTTCTTGCCTAAGTTTTATAAACTCTGATTTGCAGGTAAGGAAATTTACACTAAGGGTTTAATTTAGACTTAATTTAGCATTGGTGTCGCTGTATAACAGCTGCCTTAATTCAAGGTATCCTTTCTCCCTTGGCCAGCTGCAGCTATTCCTTATATAGTCTTGAGTTTGCTTCTTCAGGGCTGATCTTTAAGTGCACTGACAGAATTTTTATACATTCCCAAGGTATGTATAAGCAAATGCTTTAAAAAAAAAGCATTTATGAGTCCAATGGTTTAACTTACTCTTATTTAAAATAAAACCCCAAAATCTATTTTATAATATGATATATTCATATTCTTCTTTGAAAAAACATATTCATTTTCTTAGCAAATGTTTGAGTGTTCTCTATCTGCCAGGTCCTACATGGGAATACAGAGATGAGCCAGAAGTGACCTGTCCCCTGCCCTTTTAAAGCCCACCTGCTTTAAGGGAAGTCTGACATTAACTAACAAAATAATCACACAAATAAGTGTAACATTGCAATTCTAAGTGCTAGGAATGAGAAATGCTTGGTAGTAAGAAGTTAAAAAAAATAGAGTGATTTGGCCTAGTCATAGAGGCTTTCTCAAGAGGGGTATAAGATGGGTAGTGGTTTGCCCATGGCGGGGCATGGGACGCAGGAAGTGAGGAAATCTTCCATATAGAGAAAACCTAATTTTGGAGAGAGTAGCCAGTATGGCTGGAAGACTGATCAAAGGGAAGTTTGGTATGAGATGAGGCGAGACTGGCATGGGAGGTGGGGGCCAGACCATGCAGGGCATATAGATCCTGGTCTTGATCCTAAAGTCAGCATTTTTAAGCAAAGGGTAAGGCTGGACCAATTAAAAAGCATATGCAGTAGTTTAATACACAATGTTTGCTTGGTAGCTACGGAAAAGTAGAGATGGATAGTAGATAGATTCAGGAGATATGTAGGAGACACAATTGATAAGACCTGCTGATGTCTTGGATGGGGAGGGGTAGGAGAAGGGCAGTTTCAATGATGGCTTTCTGGCTTGGATAAGCAGATGGATAGTGGTGTCACCAGGGGGCTTTTAGGGAGTAAATAAGGAGGAAAAGGATCTTGAGTTTGTTTTTGTGCCTTCAAGACATCTAAGAAGAGACATAAAATAGGCAATTAGAAGTGTAGGTCTAGGGCTGAAAGGAGAGACCTGAGCTGGTAATATCAGTTTGTGAGTCATTTGTATATAGGTAACAACTTAAGCCGTGAGTATAGATGAGATTATCTTGAGAATACAGCAAGAAGAGCATATGGTTTAGAAACCTGCAACAACAACAAAAGCCATTAGAAGAAAGATTTTCATTGAGGGGGAATGAGACGACTGGTCTAACCAGTGTTTTTAGATATACAGCAGGGATAGGGAACTTCTAAGATTTCAGCTTTGGTATTTTTCATATGGTCTACTTGTCAAGTACCAAAAGTATATTAATATATGGCAATATTTGCAAAATTGCCAGTAATACCCTAAAAGGCTACAAGATTATCACTTTCTGTAATTGTAATTTAAATTACTTTTAGCCATTTTCTGTTTCTCTAACTCCTTTCCAGACTGATTATAAAGTCAGTCTAGAATGGATTGTATGTTTTTAAATCTTTGCATTTAGTTCTATCTTATAAGTTCTGTGGCTGAGTAGAAATGGTATATTTATTTAAAATCTATATCTTGGTTGGATTTTTTTTTGGCTTGTCATTTGTATGCCTCATTGTCCGCACAAGTAAAAATTAAAGACATAAAAATCAAAAAAAGATTTTTGTACGCAAGTTAAGAGTTTTTTCTCTACTTTCATCTTTGTATCCCCATTGTCTAGTATGCTGCTTGCATTTAATGCATATAATAGATGCTTAGTAAGCACTTATTGAATTGATGAATTAAGATACTGGAAGAGTTAAAACATGATTTTCATATTGTGTGTATTTTCTCTCCTTTTCTTAGGATGGCTGGCTGTGGTGAAATTGATCACTCGGTAAACATGCTTCCTACGAACAGGAAAGCAAATGAGTCCTGTTCTAATAGTGCACCTTCTCTGACTGTCCCTGAATGTGCCATTTGTCTGCAAACATGTGTTCACCCAGTCAGTCTGCCTTGTAAGCATGTTTTCTGCTATCTATGTGTAAAGGGAGCTTCATGGCTTGGAAAGCGATGTGCCCTCTGTCGACAAGAAATTCCCGAGGATTTCCTTGACAAGCCAACCTTATTGTCACCAGAAGAACTCAAGGCAGCAAGTAGAGGGAATGGTGAATATGCATGGTATTATGAAGGAAGAAATGGGTGGTGGCAGTATGATGAGCGCACTAGTAGAGAGCTGGAAGATGCTTTTTCCAAAGGTAAAAAGAGCACTGAAATGTTAATTGCCGGGTTTCTGTATGTTGCTGATCTTGAAAATATGGTTCAATATAGGAGAAATGAACATGGACGTCGCAGGAAGATTAAACGAGATATAATAGATATACCAAAGAAGGGAGTAGCCGGACTTAGGCTGGACTGTGATGCTAATACCGTAAACCTAGCAAGAGAGAGCTCTGCCGATGGAGCGGACAGTGTATCAGCACAGAACGGAGCTTCTGTTCAGCCTCTTGTGTCTTCTTCTGTAAGGCCCCTGACATCAGTAGATGGCCAGTTAACAAGCCCTGCAACACCATCCCCTGATGCAAGCACTTCTCTGGAAGACTCTTTTGCTCATTTACAACTCAGTGGAGACAGCATAGCTGAAAGGAGTCATAGGGGGGAAGGAGAAGAAGATCATGAATCACCGTCTTCAGGCAGGGTAGCAGCACCAGACACCTCCATTGAAGAAACCGAATCAGACGCCAGTAGTGATAGTGAGGATGTATCTGCACTTGTTGCACAGCACTCCTTAACCCAACAGAGACTTTTGGTTCCTAATGCAAACCAGACAGTATCTGATCGATCAGATGGATCAGGAACTGATAGATCACTAGCAGGGGGTGGAACAGTGAGTGTCAGATCTAGAAGGCCTGATGGACAGTGCACAGTAACCGAAGTTTAAATAAAAAAAAGTCTTCAGCTCCATGCTCAAGGTTATCTGTACATTTCTGCCCACGTAACCTTATACACTCATCCCTAGTAGTACATTTTGGGAGTTGGGGTGGGGAGGGGTATGGGAAGGATAGACCTGTAATTAAAATGTCTAACATGTCTCTGTTGAGAAATTTATTTAATGTAAGGAACTTGGGTGTTAATAGTTGAGAGCTGTTTAGTAATAACCCAGTTTTCTTGAGGCCTGTTTATTTTGTAGTTTTTAAAAAATTTCTTAAGTTCTTTTGGCCAGCGTCTGTGTTTTGTCCGTGCATTGACGGTCCCATCTAACTTGCGTTGTGTCTTATTTTTCTGCATGGATTGACAAAACCATTACTAAAATTTGGTACCTATGAGATGTGTGGTATCAGTATGAACAGGAAGCTTAATTAATGTGAGAATAGATGTGAATTTGAGATTTTAAAATAGATGAATAACAACTACTTAATAGTAAAGTTACTGAAATGGAACTATAAAGAAAACAGCTAATAACAGAATCTTGTCTGTAACACACTTCATGGCGTTCCCATAGGCTTTGCTGTCTAGTCCTTGTAGTTTGAGGTTCTCTTGATCCACATTTTTCTTTTTGATTACAGAATTTATAATTTAATAAATACTAGAATTTATCAAAAATAATTTGTCTCTTGTTTGAGTCTGGAAAGGGGATGGAAACATTTTGACATTTGTGGCCAAAGGTCACTAAAAAGGTGGTGGTTTGAATTAATGATATTCAGCTTAAATAGTTACCTGCTCAGAAAAGTTTGATTTCTTTATAGAGAATATTTAAACAGTATCTACAGGCAATGTGCATGGAATAAATACATATGGAAATAAACCTAACACCAGGGAGACTTAAATTTCTTAAATAACTGATAGTAGAGACTATATATGTTTTAGATTTTCCTTGCCAGTCTTCATTAGTGCTCTAACACTAATCTGAATTAAATGATAGGCTTATTTATAAACAGCATTAGTAGACAGAAATTCACTTTATATAAATTGTTGTAGAATTTATGGCAAGGTAGGAAGTGTTGGGTTAACTTGGTAATCCAGAATTTGGTTCTGAAAAAGTAATGTGAGTTTGTCTCTATATCCTAACTCAAACAGTAAAGTCATGTTGATGAAGCACATGCAAGTTATTTTTAGTATGATTTTCAAATGTGAATTGAATGTTACAATAGCAAATAAAAACTGTCACTACTTTGAAATTATCTTTTACTTGTTGTGATAGGTTAGAACTGGGACTTAATTTTTTGACTTAAACGTTTTTAAAAGTGAATTATTGAGCTGATCATAAAAGTTTGAATTGTGTATTTTTATTAAATTTACTTTTAAAAGATAGCTAGTTAATAAAAGAAGAATGGTTAGTTACTTTTCAGAAGAAAATAGAAATCTAATGTAAAATGCAAATGTATGTTACAGGATGCTTCATGAGTCCCTTTGAAGTCTTAGGCAGTTTTGATTTAGAGTTCAACTTCATTACTACATAAATAGTAGTACTTACTACTAGTTTAGAAATCCCAGTGCACACAAATGAATGGCCAATTTTGTAGAGTCAGTAGACTTTCCAGGTAGTGGCTATCACTGTTCAGTAGATAATTTAAAATAGAAAACTAATTATTAAAAAGATCAAATAAATGAGGCTCCAAAGTTTTAGTGGGGGGAAGTGGGGAGCATCTTTATTTAAAAGAAGGGCCATTCCCCATGACTACTTTATTTCAGCTGCTTGGAGCAGAAGAAAATGATTGATCATACCTTTTCTCATCTTCTTGTCCCCTGATCCCTCTCCACTTTTGTTCTTTAACTACAAGGTTCATTCAGTTATTTTTGTAAGTAAGTTATTTCCAGGTAAGACAAAGAAAGACTATGAAGGATAACCCCAGGAATAGGTTTTGTATAGAAGTTTTCCTTTTAAAAAGTGATCTTTGGATATAGGCTAAGAACTATTATGGGAATTTGAGAATTGATAACAATAATTTTTAAGCCAAAAGTTTTGTATATTTTAGCCAAACGTTCCAGATTACTTGGTAAATACCCAAATATACTGAAAACTAGGCCAATGAATTCAGCTATTCAAAAAATTATTAAAAACCCAAATAACAGTGGTAGCCTTCAAAGTAATTCTGCCGTTCCTATTTAATATCATTTAACTTTTATACACATGATTACAATGATTACATTGGAGTTTTACTGGTAGTACATCATATTTTAAAAAACTACTTATTAAATTTTCCTTTCCTAGCAATAGCCTCTAAATTTGCAGGTCCACCCCAAAGTGTTCCTACAAGATCTCTTTCGGTCTGTAATGCCTCCTCTAAACAAAGCTCTTTGCCTGAAGAAACAGATTTTTTCAAAGCTCTGATTACTTCTGGTGGCCCTTTGATAAACTGCTTTAGCCACTCTTGTGCTGCTTCTAGAGATTGAGTTTCATCTGAAGACTGCAAGACCTCTTCAACCATTCCTATGTCTAAAGCTTTTTTTGAATCCAGTTTGAGGGCCCCGGTTAACACTTTAAGAGCTTGTCTGCTGCCAATTATCTCAACCAGCCGGACAGCTCCGCCCCAGCTTGGTACTATTCCCATTTCCTTGTGGACAAATCTGATCTCGCTCTCCGTCGTCATTAATCTGCAAAAGAGAAAAGAAAAACCTTAATTGTAACTAAGTATGTATGCTTTAGTCATAAACTACTACCTATTCATTATCTGATCTGAAATCTCCATAGATCTTTATAGGTAGATATATTATCATTAAACACTGAACATTCAAAAAATCTGGCCATGTCTAGAATTCAGTTTACTACACGGTACTTAACACTTCCCTTTGAAAACAATGTCAGCATTTTTGTTGTGTTGGCTTACCCTTTCCTTTACAGATAAGAATCTAGTCTTTATTTAATGTTTATTTCTAAAAGCCCAAAGTTTATCTTCCTAGAGTAAGTGGTGGCCTAATGAGAAAACTTGGATTAAGTGAAAATATGGGAGTAGGAGATATTAGGTGCATACCACGAAAAAAAAATGCATAGTAAGTTAAGGTCAGTAGTCTTCAGGAAAAAAAATCAATTGTTTTAACCCAGCATCTATCCAATCTTCCAGCAAATATTTACTAAGCACTACCAACCCAGGTGGTCTAGGTGTGGGACTATGGGCATGACCAAAATAAAGTCCCTGTGCTCAGTTCACATTCCAGTTAGGAGAGAGACCACTAGTCAATGTAATGTCAGGGGTAGTAAGTGCTACAAAGAAAAACAGAACAGGTCCAGGGACTAGACAATGAGGACATGTGTGCTATCTTAGATGGAGCTGGCCTCTGAATATTTGTGCAGTTACCAGGGAGAGAGAGAGAGAGTGAGTGAGGCAAAAATCGGGGGCGGGGGAAGTATTCCAGGAAGAGGCAATTGCAAGTGCAAAGGCCTTGGAGTGGAACTGCTCAGTATCCCTGGGGGGCAGGCTAATGGAGCTGGAGGAGCGCAAGCACAGAGAGGGCAGATGAAGTCACAGGTAGGCGTATCGGCCTTAGGTAGGAGTTCAGATTTTATTTAAGAGTGAAGCTATTTAGAGGAGATTGACCAAGTGAGTAGCATCTGACTTATTTTATAAAGGTTGCCCTGATTGCTGTAAGTCTTTTTTAGCATTTCACAGCACTTAAACCAGTTATTTAAGGAACTTGATGTTAACTAATCCTCAGAACAACCATATGAGGTAAGTAATATCCTCATTTTACAGAGGGGGAAACGGAGGCAACAGAGATTAAATAGCTCACTCAAGGTCATGCAGCAATGGCAGAGCCAGGATTTAAACCCAGATAGGTTAGCTTCATATGTGTGCCCTTAACCACATGGTACGCACAGTAGTTAGCTAGTCTAGAGTGGAAGCAGGAATACAATTAAGAAAGTTGATAGTGGTTTGGGTTGGACTGAGCAGTGATTTCCTATAGCAGGTATTCATTTCCCCCCCAAATCTTGGGAGTTTTATGAATAGTGTGATTAATAAGCAAGTGGAACAATAAAGAGGAGTTAACACAAAGAAATTAGTAGGCATATCAAAAGGCTTCACCTTTGCTGGTTATATATTGTGTGCTATCAGTAGACTGTATAGAGCTATACTGTTTAGGGAACACTGCCTGAGTTTTACTTTGACTGCATGGTTCAATGAGAAGCTTTCCTTATGTTAAAACCTCTGATTTGGTCCAAAGGTCATGTCTGAATTTTAATTTTTTTAAGAAAAATGACTGCTTTCAAATTACCCATTACAAAAAAGAAGACCTTAAGTGAGTTCGGCTTTCCAAAGTGTTCTTTGCTCAGCTGCAGGTGTGGTTTGGTTCTATTAGCACCAAGAACAACAGACTCTTAGTCTTGGAGCCTTTAATCAGGAGAAATATTCCAGTAGAAAATTCTCACAAAAGCCTATTTATTAACTCACTGGGAAAGAATTTTCTCTTCACAGCTGTGAATTCCTACAAGGGAAAATCTACCTCAATTATGAACAATTGCTTTTAGAGGCAAATAGCTATGAAAATACTAGTAGGTTTTAATAAACAGTTTTTAAATGGGAAGGAAGAAAGAATAAGCCTCATAAGAATCTGAATCTAGCCCAAAATTATGAGAAGTACCACCTTGTTATAATAAACAGAAAACAATATTAAAAATTAAGAAAGTAGAATAGAAATGACAGAAACAATGTCTAATAGCCTTGGAGATAGAAATATTGTTAATACTGAAAAGTCCTATAAAGCTTTTCACAGAATAAATTAAATATGTCACAGTTCTAAATTATATCCTGGAATTGACACTGATGCTGGCTCAGAGCTATACCTCCAATACAGAAAAGGATTATGTCAGGAATAAATTCATTTAGAATCAGCTGAACATAGAAATTGGTTAAAGCCCTAGATGTTGGGATAATGTAGATACACCTATGACAACAAAAGTTATTATCTGTGGAAGTACATTTATATTTGGAATTGTTTGCTTCTAAAGAAGGCTGTATCATCTTTATACTATGTATTTTTTTTCCTTTGCCATATTTGACAAGGTGAGGTATGCCTTTTCGAATCATTTTTTACAACTCTCACAAATCCTGAGGTAATCCTTGTAAAATACCTGTTGTGATCAAACTCTGACATCCATTCTTTATATATCATACGCCTAAGGTGTGCCTGTGTACTGATAAACATTTAATATATGTTAAAAACAGGACCACAAACTCTACTTGTGACAAAAGAACGCATGGTAGTTTAACAGTGAGAGAAATGGAACATTCAGATGGTAACCTTTGACAAGACTGTTCATTAATCTAAAAATCAAAGTTTAAATCTGAAATTTTAAATGTTGATAACCATAATTTATAAAGAAAATGTCCAACCAACAAGATATATCCACAAGGAGAAACTGCTTCCTGATAGACCTCACAGGATTATACACTGATTACTTCTAGAGTTTAGAGGCAGTTACCTGGTACCACCTGCAATATAATGTACTGCAAGGGATATTCCATTATATGTAGAATACTGGAAGACCTAAATTTTTAACATTCTGAAGACTTACAGCAGACTCAATTTATAAAACCATATGAAACTCCCTTATTTTGACAAGCAAAAGAATTTTAAGTATCTTCTGTTTATTAGTGTAATTATTATTGGCAGTGTTTTAAAATTTCCTGTGACACCTTAGGAGAGAGGAGATGAGGGAATTAATCAAATGTAGTTATACGACTCATTACTGTAGGGAAGCAACAGTGTGACAGGAAAAACTACCCATAACTGGGTAAAGCCCATCACCTTTGACAAGTGTTGCCAAGTCATCGTGGATACCTGAAAGGACTGCTCAGGGTGCTACTACTTTCTGATGAGTTAATTATAAGTTGCGGGTCTTTGAACAAACGTATTCAAGAAAAACAATTTTAAAACAACTATAAAATGTTACTAAAATAGGAAATTTTTAGTACAAGTTAAAAAGTTTTAAAAAATGTTTATTATTAAAGAACAGTACTTTTAGTGAACTCTGTGATAAAAGATGGAAACACATAAATAATTGTATTGGGAGACAGTACAGCTTTGATGTGATGTGCATAGACTTGAGCCAGACTGCCTGCCTTGGCCACTAGACTGGCTGCACACTACACCTTGTAAAATACAGCAAAGAAAAAAAGACACGTGGTATACGGAGGATGAGGAAGATGAAATTACCTAACATCTCTGGGCCTCAGTATTCTTACTAATAAAATAGCAATAATAAGCGTAGATAGATTATGAGTATTAAATGACTTAATATATGGAAGCTGCTTAGAACATATATATGCCATAATCCTTTTAATTAGAATCTTGGAGTGTGTTTATGTATATTTAAAAAAATCAGTGTGTAATCTTCTGCCTCAGCCACATCTAGTAGAACACAGTAGTATTTATACATTTATTTGGAATATAAAGGTTGTATATATTTTGTAGCCTCACAGTGCCTGACGTGTATTAAGCTTTTATTATTATGAAGCTGGTTGCACTGATAGGTAGGTCACTCCAAATAACCGTGGTGTTTCTGCTGGAGAGGTAGTATAAAGTTGTTTCCTGGGCTGAAATCACTCAACCCCTAAAGTATCAAAAGTAAAACAGCTATACTCACACTGTGAGCCCAGCAAACGATGGTGTGCTGTCCTTCCTCAGTATCTGTTAATGGAGACTACAAAATATACAAGTTTTATATTTCCAAATAAAAGGTAGAAATAATACTGTGTTCTACTACAGATATGGCTGAAGCAGAAGATTCCAAGCTGATTTTTTTTTAAACATAGACAGACATCTCTCTCTCTTAAGATTATCTTAAGGAATATTGTGCAATATAAGTAAAAGCATAAATACTTTAAAATTTTAAGGAAAGCATTTTGATGCTACAAAATTAAATAACATGATGTCATAAATTTAAAGTTTGGGATCATTGATTTAAATAAACTTTAATTTAGGACCAGACATGCTAGTCCTTTTACATTGCATAGTAAGAACCAAAGACAACAAAGCACACTGGTGACATGGGGGAATATGGTAATACAATTATATAATTAGCAACAGCATCTCCGACCACAAACAATACTTTGAAATCATGCCTTAAAGATAAACACGTATTTGTCTGCACATGTACTTTCCTAGCACCTTCTCCCTCCTGCCTTCTCCTGCCATCACATCTCAAGACAAATTATGGAAAATAGAAGGAAAGAACCCAAAGATTCTCCCCATGATCTCGCCTTTCATTTCCTACTCAGATGATTGGCCTCATGAGGCTCCATTTATTTTAAGCAAAGACAGTGCTTGAGTAAGAAAGTATATAGTTGAATGAGTGAATTTTTTAAATTGTGTGTGTCTGTGGTGGTGGTAGAGCTGGGGAGGAGCAGACAGGAAAATGTTTTGGGATTGTCAAGTCTGATTTTAATAGTCAGTCAGTAATCTCAGCATGCTCAGAGGTGGATTTTCTTGATATCACAGGCTCTGAAGTAAGAATTTCCATATAATGTTGTGGTAACCAGGAAACAAAGCGACATGGGTGATGACTGCCTCCTGAGGTGGATATCTCATGTCCCGAGTACAGGCACTGCCACAGCAAAGGATGGAATTAGTTTTTAAAGACTCTAGGATGTGTTGGT